AGGCAGGCTGAGGCTGAGGCTGAGGCAGGCTGATGCTGAGGCAGGCTGAGGCTGAGGCTGAGGCTGATGCAGGCTGAGGCTGAGGCAGGCTGAGGCTGAGGCCGAGGCTGAAGGCAGACTGATGCTGAGGCTGAAGCAGGCTGAGGCTGAGGCTGAGGCAGGCTGAGGCTGAGGCAGGCTGAGGCTGAGGCTGAGGCAGGCTGAGGCTGAGGCTGTGACTGCGACTGCCGTTGCCACTGCGACTGTCATCGCGAATGCGACTACGACTGCGAGAACAGCAGAATTCTACAACTGGATTCTCATCTGAATCTTAAAGGGAATGCTTCCAGATATGATTCTACACATCGCTGTTAGGTTGCTTTGCCGGGAGAATATGGCGAGAACCAACGAGGACCATCCTGGACCATCGAGCAAAAAAAACACGCACGAAACCGAAAAATGCACGGGAAATGGACGTCCGAGCGACGGCAAGTGTGAGAGGAGGACAAGGGTACCCATGCCTCTGCCCTTGCCTCGTCTTCCCCTTTCTCGGCCTCCTGGGCGGCCCTCGTCGCCACCGCCGGCTTCGGCCCGCAATCCTGGTCAGGACGCACCCCGGGAGAGGTCCGAGGAGTGGCGGTAACGGTACCATTTGACGTGCCACTTGCCGTTGGGCACTTCTGCGGGGCGGGTGCGCGTGACGTTCACGGACCGGGCCGCCGGGCTTGCGGTCCGCTCCTGCCTCTTCGCCGGCTTCCCCGCGCCCCACTGTGCCCCCGCCCCTTGATAGACCCCTCGCTCACGCCGCTCCCCCTTCCTTCTTGCTTTGTCTGCCTTGCTTGCTGAGTGTTGGTTTCTCTGGTCGACTGTCTCTGTCCCTGGCTTTCTCTTGTGCTCTGGCTGTTCCCGCTGCGTTGCCCTGGCTCCCTCCCGTGTGTTTGTCCTCTTCCCCCCCGTAACGTGTTGCTCTTTGCTGCTGATGTTGCCCGATCGTGCTCTGTCCCATCCGCTGCAGCCTGCTTCGCCTTTGCCCTGCTGGAAAGGGATCTGCGTCTCCAGTGGTATCCCTCGACAGCCGCGTTCAGTCTCGAAGAATGCCCGCCCGAGGGGACTGGAGTGCAGCCCTGGCACCCTCCCCCTTCTAGCTGCGGCAGACTGGCTCAATTCAGAGCCCTGTTGCCATCTCCTCCCCGACTCCTGCCTGGACCCCCCGTACCGCAGCCGCATTGAATTTCTTCCGCAGTGGATCCCTTTGCGCCGTCAAATCTTGGACCCTCTGCGGCGCAAGGATTGTTAGCCTTCTGCCGCGCGTGCGCGCCTTGCCATTGGAGCCCTTGAACTCATCGGATGAGCGTATAACTGGCACTTGAGAGTGCAACAGGCACTAGCGTGTGCTAGCGTGCAGCAAAGACTAGCATGCATTTACTCCTTCCTCCTCCCGCTCCTTCTGTTTCCTCCTTCTTGACATTGCGCGGACACAGATCAGATGATCGTTGCGTCGTGTGGCTCGGAAAACATTGAAGAGGCCGACTTCGGCCTGAGACAATCGAATTACGCCTGGCTGTCGCAGCGGCATACAGGAAGGCAAAGACGGCTAAGCAAAAGAGAGTGAGCCCGCAAGGGCAAGGAGCATGCGCCAGCCAGACGGCGAAGAACAGGAAGAGGACCGAAGCGACTCTATACAAAGTGATGATCACGATGATCGAGGAGCGAACCGAAGCTTCTGGTTCCTCCTCCTCGCCGCTGTTTCGCAGACAGGCGCCTTGCCTTCGAGCGCCCTGCGACGCTCTCGCTCTCCCCCTCGCGTGTCTGGGTCCCGGGCCTTCTGCCTCGAGCGAGCGAGGGCTGTGGGGGGCCTTCGCGCGGCAGCCGGCGGGGCACCCCCTCGTCGCCATCCCCACCGACTGGGCGCAAGAAAGGATCGTTTCGCGGGCCTCGGGGTTGACACCAACACCAATATCGGCGGTACAGTGGGGGCGCGTGCCAAGAAACCAGTTGGATTTTGCCAGGGTGCCCTGGGTTTCTTGGATTTCGATGGGCTCCCAATCAGATCTTGACGATTTTCGATCGACACATGTGGATTCTCACTGAACAAATCGCGTATTTCAGGGTTGGGTTTCTTGCGGAGGTTTCTTGTGGCCGAGCCCCCACTGTATGCCTCCACCGGGGGAAGAAGATCCCGATCTCGGCGACGGTGGTTATATGCTGGCTTTCAAGGTGCCCGAAGTAGTATCACCGACATCGAAGTCTGGGAGCACCTTCCGCCTGTGGAGGCATACCCCCTGTGTTGGTATCGGTGCCCATTTTCCAGGCCTCTAATGGCTGCCCCCAGGATTCTTTATCGAGGCGCTCGTGATTCGCGGTTCCCCAATCAGTGCTTGCACTGAAGGGGTCCTAGCGGATAATGAAAGATTTGGCAAAAGTCCCGGGCCGATTTCGGTAGCCGGCTTGGTTCCCTGGTTCCCGGTTCTGGGTTCCCGGTTGCTGGTTTTGGGCCGATTTCGGGATCCCACGATCGAGCCTACCATCGATCTCATAATGTTCAAACTATCCACTGATTGGGTTTTTCCCTGGTGTAATTTACCACACTGCAGCCAGAGGCAGACTGCGCATGCTGGAATGTGCCACGCCGAAGAGAAACACATCGCAGAGTACAGCATGAGGTGTGGCCAACCAGCTGCAAGTAGGTGATCAAGTCGTCCCACAGTTGAGCAAGTTAGTTCAGAGCAAGTGCTAGCACGGTTTTCGCACAACTTCGCAGGCCTAGAGGTTAACACCAACACCAAGATCGGCGGTGTGCTTCCATCGAGGGAAGAAGATCCCGATCTCGGTGATGGTGGTAATATTCTGGCTTCCAAGGTGACCGAAATATTGCCACCACCACCACCGAAATCTAGGATCATCTTCCCCCCGTGGAGGCAGCCCCCTGTGTTGGTGTTGGTGCCCATTTCCAGGCCTCCAAAACTACTTCTGGAGCGTTGCTGCGGTACATTTGCAATCCGGGCTCTCGTGCTTTTCTCCTCCCCTAGCTGCGCCAGGGGGGGAGGGGGGAACCCCGCACGCGAGCCCCCCCGCGGAGGAGAGCTCCCATCCTCCTCTGGGAATTCGAGGCGGGGCTAACCCCCGTGCTCTCGAACCCCTCGCCGGGGATCTCCCTCTCTCCTCCCCCTCCTCCCCCTCCTCCTCCTCCTCCTCCTCCTCCTCCGCCTCCTCCTCCTGGAGGCCATTTTTCTTTATTGCCTGGGGCATGACGGGCGTCATGGCCCCCGCTCCCCCCCCCCCTCCCCTATGACGTGACGCTCCCCCCCCCCCCCAGTGCGCTCCGGGCACTGCCGCCGTGCGCATTGGGGGATCCGCGCAGGTGTCCGCGTAGGAATCCGCATAGGTGTCTGGTGGTCCGCAGGCGTCGTCGTCGTCGTCGTCGTCGTCGTCGTCGTCGTCGTCGTCGTCGTCGTCGTCGTCGTCGTCGTCGTCGTCGTCGTCGTCGTCGTCGTGGTGGGGCGCGCCGAAGAACCAGGCACGCCCCGGACGTCCTCTGCTCCCGGACGGGCCCCCGTGGGTGCCACGTGTTGGCCGGCCGGGCGGTCTGCTGCCGCGGCGGCGCGGGGGCCGGACCCCCTTTCTCTTGCCTGCCCGGCGCTCCCCAGGTCTGCCGGGGAGCCGCCGAGGGCCTCTCTGAGGCCCAGGAGGGCCTCCAGCTCCGCAGGTTTGGGGGGCCACCTGCGAGCCCTACCCCTACCCCCCACGATTTCTGAGGGGGAGGGTGGGGTTCACTTCGTCCCCGTCAAAACTCGTGGGGGGTAGGGGTAGGGTTCGCATGTGGCCCCCTACAGATGCCATCTCTACAGTCGGGGCGCTGAACAAGGAACCCTTTTCGTTGGGGGGGGGGCTCGATGCCCCTTAGTTGTTCCACACCTTGCCCAAGGTTCCCCTTCAGTTTTCGATGGGGAGTCGAAGTTCACCTTACGAAAAAAGGGGCCTCGTTCCTTATTTAGGGTTCCTTAGGTCAACGCCTCGACTGTACACCACCACCGTTCCTGGCCAGGGCCACCCTGGGCTCCACGATGGTGTATAGACCCTCCTGGCCTCGGCCAGGAGGCGTATACACCACGCCAGGGCCCAGGATGGCCCTGGCGAGGAGGGGTGGTGGCGTATAGATGCCTTCTGTGTACCAGGATCCTCGGACGGGCCTGCCAGGGTTTGGCCGTGGTGCAGAGGCGTGGCGCGGGACTGCGTGGCGAGGGGAGGGGTCACGTTGGCTCAGGCACGTCTCGCCGCCTTCAGCCAGCGTGCGCAGCGCTTCGCGCACGCCGCCGTGCTCCCCGTTGGGGCGGGCGGACTTGTCCGGGGAGCCCTCGTCGCCATGGCAAGGAACAGCCTGAACACCCTGTGAGAATTGTTTGTTGCTCGAGAGGGGCCCGCAGACCGACAGGGTGGTCGTGGGCAAGCAAGGTGCTTTCGTTCCGATACCCGCGAGGACAGTCATGTTCTATTCGTCTCAGGGTGAGGGGGCGAAGGTGGAACCAGAAGCGCGAGGGCGACGAGGAGGATGCGAAGCGGAATGTGGAAGGGGAGAAGGACTAGAAGGATGAGAGGAGGAGGAGGAGGAGGAGGAGGAGGAGGAGGAGGAGGAGGAGGAGGGGATCAATACTCGGAGGTGGAGAGCGAGGAGGTTGGGGAATTGCAGAGGGAGGACGAGGACGAGTAGCGCAAGGAGGGCGCGAGGAGCAGGACGAGGGTGGCAGAGGGGCGGGCGGGGTACGACAGGGACGGGGGGACGGAAAGAGAGAGACGAGGACGCGGGGAGCGGGAGAATGGGGCAGGGGAGCGGGAGGAGATGGCGGACGAGGAGCAGCTGCAGCGAGGGGGGTCGGCTAAGAAGGCGCCAGTTGTGGCGCTCGATCCTCGCACGGCTGCTCGGAGGGCGGCGCTGGTTCCCCTGGCTTGCACTCGCCCGGTGTCGCTGCCCATCGCGCATCTCGCGCGCAGGCCCGGCGCCCCCTTCGCCCGCGGCCCGCCAG